GCAGCTGTATCTTTTCGACTCCTTTTCTATCCATAGAGCTCTTCAAAGGGGATCATTTGTACCAATAGAATTCCACCCTTTATCAATATACCAAATCTCGTTTTTATATCCCTTTATGATTTTACGATGACCACACTAGTGATATGATTGGCGTTGGCACAGATAGTTCTTTGAATTGCATGTTAACTCCAAGAGTCTATGCCGTCGCTTTTTGTTCCCACAGTTTGGGAACTATACATGGCTGTACTGTAATAAATCAAAATCATATTGTTATTGTTCTTCTTTCACGTTATTGTTGCACATGGAGCTTCTAACTCCATTTACTTGTCTATATTTTTTATTGCTTTCTTTTATAATTATATGAGATTGTTTTTCAAAGGATTTTTTCCCAGCAAAATGTTCTTGTTTTGATATATCTTCTGTTCCACGTTTGTTTTCTTCCCCATTATCTTTTCCTAGCCTTAAATAGTTTCATTTTTTATTCTTATGCTAACTTGTATATTAGACAATGCAACGATCCCATTTTGTACATAATTACTCTGATTAACTTCATCTACAGCTTTGGATGAACTTTAGCTACCCTAAATCTTTAATTTCTCGTTGCATTCTTCCTTTTTCTCAATAGAATTTGTCTTAGCCACCCTTTCCTTGTTTCTTTTCTCTCTAATTTCTGTTTTCCCACATCTGATAGGCCCACAACTAAGTTTCAGCACTATAGTGCGTAAAATCCGGATGATAATTCCAAAATAAAGCGCATATTTATGTTTGCTTATTATTTTTTATTTTTACTTGTATTCTTGTTTGGCACTTTGAGTGTGTTCGAATTCACCGACCGATTTGGTAAAATTCTTAAAAATTGTTTATTTTGCATTCCTTAAACTTTTTCACATTGCTCAACGTTTATTTTCAGAGTTCTTGAACTGGTTGAAATTGATCTATAATTGAGCGCCAGTGACTTCTTGATTTGCCTACCTTCTTTCCTGCGAACCATTTTAGCAAATATTTATTGTTCGTAGGCAAATGCCAGATCTAAATAAGTCGGTTCCGGCCGCGACATCGGCAGGAAGAAAACGCTCTCTTTCTCCTAGCTTGCGCTCCAAGCCTGGTGAGCCGACTATTTAATTAACTTCAAAAAATCTAACCCAGTTAAAGCATCTGATCTCATCTGAATTGTTATTTTCTTCGAAAATTTTCCTCTATGACTTAGACTCATAGTTATTCTTATAAATTTTCGCCTGCATACTTTATCTTTATTTTAGCACAAATGTGTAAAAGCTAAATATTTCATTATTAAACTATTTTTTTTGTGCTATTTAAAGAAGTAACTAATTATTAAACTTAAATTCGCAGGGAAATTCGTCTTACTGATCTTTTATTCTTTTACGATAAGGTAAATCTAATGTTGCCGCTACCAAACGGCGTTCACGTTCTCGATCACGGGAAGTGAGCAGACGCACTGGGGGTGTGACCCAGAAGAATGCTTTGAAGCGACGCGCCACCTCTGAATCTTCAAAATCTTCATCATCCTCGTCCTCAGGTTCTTCCACATCAAGTGGTTCGAGCAGTTCCTCAGCCTCATCTTCATCGGCCTCAACTGATTCGTCACGATCTCAATCAAGATCACCCCGTCGGCGTCATCCGACCAGCAAACCCCCAACTATTAAATCAAAAGCGGCTGATAGTCAGACTCAGCAAAAGCCTTCTCTCACAGGACACTCGGGCGGGGATACAAGTGGGCGAGCTAGACAATCTAATGACAAATCCAGACCAACAGGTAGGCTGTTTATGATACTATTTAATTATTTTTCTGTAATACTTGTTTCACGCTTCACTTTTACATCGCCTCAATATAAGCCTGAGCTCATCTTGATTAATTTACTTATAAAATTCAAATCATAAATAAGGTCATTTAGGATTTTATTTGCACGGCATCGTTCTCTTGGATTTGCTAGATTACTTTCTTTTCTTAATAAAAGTAATTTTGGAGCATTCCATACACGGTAGTCAGACTGTCTTGTTTTTTTTCTATTTTGTTTTTTTCGCATTGATGATAACGTATACTAATAAAGCTTTTTACGGGGAATTG